TTAATTTGGTCATGGTGAACGGAGAAGGGCATTGCCACAGAGGTGTCTCAGGTAAAGCCTCTCTGACAGTGTTAGTTAGGTACAATCTGTACACAGACTGTAGGATGTCAGGTTTTGGACAGCAAAGCAATAGAATCTGTGGGTCTCCTCACCAGAAAGAAAATGTTTAAGGAGTCACAGGCCAGGAGACCGGTTTTCATCCCATTGCAGCGTGAGCATTGAGTGACGATGATGGGGAGACGCTTCCCTCGTGCTCAGAGATATAGCCTTCTCTTTCAAGACCTTCACTTTGCCACAGTAATGGTGCATTAACAGCTTGATTTTAATTTAATAAATAATAGCAATTATGCTGCAATGGAGCCAAGATTTTAAACAAGGGGCTCCCGTAAACATTTTCTTCAGGAATCTGCGATAAACCAAAGATAGCGTTAGACGTACTTGGAGGGAGTGGGGACGCCAGACTTGGAATCTGTCCATCTGCTTCACCATTGAAACAAAACCACTTTATAACAACCACAGAGAGGAAGCGATGTAGCTTGGCACATACACTTACACTATGTGTGGTGGAAATGTTTATTCTTTATTTCAGGAAGATTTAGTGGGTGTAGAGATAATAGAGCATAGCGCTCGCTTGTGTCTTGGGGAAGGAGGGGTGATGGTGTTTGGGTTTTAAGGGAGTCCAGTGTCAGCTCCCATGGGGAATATTTTCGGTAATACCTATTGCAATCTCATGCACTTGGAAGGCAGGAGGAGACGAGGAATGAAATGTGCTTTTCAAGAGAGGCGTTGTAAAGGCCCCAGGATTAGTTATCTCTGACAGGGAGGATTTTACAGACTCCAGTAGACGGCAGAGGCAGAGTCCTGGCCATTTCTGCATTGGCTTGACAGCTCCTCCAAGGCCCCATGCTGGGATGCCTCTCAGAGCAGCTTGGATCCCTCTGCTCCTCTCCCCATGAGATGCTGTGAGGCTGCCTGGGGCTCACTGACCCCACAGACAAGTCATCTCACCCCTACATGTGCCTCGTACCCTACCCATGCCAGCTCCTCTGGGGGTCTTCTGGCTCCCCCTCTCTCACAACTACCTGGTGTTCTGAGGCATTGCGTTGTGAGTTCGGAAACAGGGGAAGGATGTACAATACAAGAGTCTATAAGGTCAGCAGGCCACCATGTCCCATGGTCCCCAACATCGCTGTCCATCCCCCCACAGCCACTGCTCCCTTTTCCACTGTGCACGTTCATCTTTGCTGCTCTGCCTCTCCTCAGAGCCACTCAAAATCAAACCTGAAAGACCCTGGCTTGACCTCTGGGGATGGGAGAGTCGCTGACAGAGTTTGAGACAGTCTGTGTCTAGACTCGGTGTGTGAGCAAGCGCGTGAAGGGATGACTAACTGTCTGAAAGTTTGGACCTTTGGAGAGGAGTCCCTTGGCTCCTTGTTTCTTGGATAAAGTTCTGCTTCCTGGGGATCTGTGGAGATAAAAGATGTTTTTCTCCCTTTCTCTTTTTTGTCTTTTCAAAGAAGTAAAAAAATATATAGAGATGTCTTGGGTGAGAAAGCAGAAACCTTCAAAAAATTTTTGCAAATCAAGAAACTCAAAGAACGTGTTGAGTGAAACATTTCATAGCGACAAAAATCAAAACATCTCACTTCGCCTTCAACCACTTTAAAACATTTTAATGGCTCGAAAGGAAATTTCAAAATGAAAAGTCATGTTTTGCTTAAAACACTGGAAAGTGTTTCATTAAAAAGGAAGAGAGGAAGCAAAACAATTGTCTTGTATTTTTTTTCTCTTTGCGATCAACTTGATGGGTCTTTCCCCAATCTGTGCTGAGGACTGTGGCTGGGCCTGTCATCCCTTGCGTTATGAGGGGCCTGGAGCTGGCAACCCTCAGAACTGGGAAAGGGACATTCTGATGAAATCATCTCCCACGCAAGAAATTCTTGTACCACTTTAACTTTGGTTTATTTGTTCTTTTTTAGATACAAATTTGCAGGCAAGCCCGTTCCCTGGGCCATCCCTGCTCACTAGCTGATGCCTGCAGAGGTCTTTTTGGCCACGGGACAGTCTCAGATCTTGGGGAACACAGAAAGAGGAAGTCCTTCCCCTCCGGAGTGCCGCGACATGTAGGTCTGAATGGCAGTTTCGGTGGCGGTGGGACCTCTGCTAGCCTCCCCTGCCCTTGCTTGGGCGGGCGTAGGACTTGGCACCGCCGGCCTGCGTGATGTGCTCGGACAGGCCCCGCTGTGGGACCGCCCCGGGTCTGGGCAGAGTGCGAGAAGCAGCACCACGGGGAGATGCCGGTGCCTGGGGTGTAAAGGAAGAATCTCTCTGGGGGCTACAGCGGAGGGGGGCCCCGCTCCCACCCGGGGTGTGGAAATGATGTGGGGACAGCGTGGGGAGCCAGAGGCAGCGGGGAGACACGGAGGCTGCCTGAGGGGCGCTGGGGGCAGCCAGAGGGACGGCGGGAAGGCTGAGGGCAGCCCGAGAAGCAGAGGGGGCGCTGAGGGGCAGAGCTCTGAGGGGCGCCGGAACGCGGGCCGAGGGGAAACCCGCAGAGCGTCGCCCGGCGGCCGCCGAGGGGCCGACC